GGTACTTGGAAAATGGGATGCTGAATATAAATAGGAAGTTACACCATAATTCAAAACCTCTTTTCCATATTTGATAGCTATCTTCCCCTGTTCCGTTACAAATCCTCAATTGCATATTTGTGGTGGTGATAAAAGAAAGTAATTTTGTATATTTTATTTATTTATCTATTCAAAAACTAGACTTTTGAAATTATTGGGCAACTGATCACACCTAAAAGGACAGTGGAACACATTTTACTGAAGCAGATAGTTTCTTTAAAGATCAGAAAATAGGGATCACTTCAGAGAATGATGAAATCGATAGTGTCATTCCTAGCAGCAAAATTAATGTTATAACATTTCATGTTGCTTGAAACAAGTTCTAAGTAGAGAAATTTGTTAACAATTTGACAAGGCCAGTAAAGCCAGATCATTCACAAAGTTTAAAGAACCTTGCTGACCCTACATAACAAATAAAATTGAGCATTATTTCATGTAAGCAAGCAAATATAAAAGGACAAGCTAAACAGGACCATCAGATGAGGGAGGGCCTGTTCCAATCTAGTGGTTAGTTTTGCACAGTTCAGTGAAATACGGATTGCGCAAAACATTTCTGATAACAAATAAAGTTAAACACTATTTCAAGTAAGCATACCAATATAAAAGGACAAGCTAACACAAAAGGAATGAAAAAGAGTTGGTTGGGAAATACATACAACACATGCAAATACCAATGCAACAGCAAATATTTGTCCACTAATTCCCTTCTTGGAAACCAACGGCAACTGCAAGTGCACTCTCTATTTACATTTTGTAAATTATTTTTTTATGGTTAATATCTTCAATGTTAACACTTTCATAATCTAAAGTTCATAAAAAATTTAAAAATTAATAATCAAACCCTTTATTTATATTTTGATTTTGTTGGTAATTTAGTGTTTTTTTTTTTTTTATGAATTTTAAACTATGAAAAGTGTTAATTGAAAATAAAAATTATAAAGAGCGTTGATTGTGAAAAAAATAATGTAATTGAGGTGTAAATTTGTAAATAGAGGGTTTAGCCAAAGATGTATTAGTAATTTTATTTCTTCATTTATTTTGGATATGACATTTAAGGAATATCTCTGGATATGCCAATTATGGGTGGTTTGGGTAAATGTCTTTATAACCTGAAACTCCAAGGAGATGGTTGGGGATTTTTGGTACAATTAATAGTTGGCCCTTTGCAAAACCTTGGCATATACAATTCATGTTGTGGTAAAATGTTTGTGCATATATCCTCCAGGAGTTGAGCACACACAGAAAATAAGTGCATGTGGGTGCCAACGCAACTGTGGTTGAAGTAGCACATACCATATTACCATGTCCTGCTATATAATTTACATATGAACAGGCACAATTACATGAGCACCACAAGAAACTTTTTTTTTTTT